GGTTGGAGGCCTCATTGACGAGAAGTGAAGTCGATGATTATGTATGGCTGCCAGAAATTGATTTAGTTCACTCACTTCTGCATGAATCCTTTTCCACCATGAGTGATGCCCTTCAATTTAATTTAATGATGACCTAAAATGTTGTTGCAATTCTCATAATCATTGGTATCTTTGATATGTTTAGCATTGTTTTTATTATGTAATTGTTTGGTTTCTCATAATCATTGGTGATTACAATTGATGATTTTAATTATTAAATGTGTTTTATTCTATTTCTGTAATTTTTTCAACCTACAACTGCCTTACACGATGCTGCCAACATGATGTAAACCGGTGAAAAAAGAGATTATGATAGTGCATAGGTGCGTGTGCGAAGCAGGAGGAGGAAAGAACATTGATATAGATAAAGAGAAGAGAGACCATGTGCATCTGAGACATAAAAAAAATTCATAAATATATCAATTTATTGCATTTTCTGATTCTTTGCAACTTTTTTTCCTTTTGTTTTTCTTGCCAACTTTTTTGATATTTGTAAATATAAATGTATGATTCATTTTTTATTTTAGTTGTATGAATATAGTTTGATATTAGTTAAAAGAATCAATTATATATCTGAAGTTGTTTAATCATTTATGAATATAGTTGTAATAATATAAGGTATAATCATTTATGAATATAAACGTATAAATATATGAATACAATCTTGATTTATTCATTTATGAATATATAAGTGGTTGATAAAATAAAATTATAAAATTTACTAATTATTCGTTTATGAATATAAAAATGGTTGATAAAATAAAATCTGAAAATTTATTTTTCATCTTTGGTACATTTATTTTTGATAAATAAAATGTTTTTTTATTTATATAGAATAAATAGTATGAATCATATAAATTAAATTTTTTTTGATTTTTTAATTTTGATAAAAAATATAATAATTTTTTTATCTTTAATTAAGATAAAAAAATAAGTCAACGAATTCTTTTATTAGGTAAGTGTGAATTTGAAATTTGTATCCCTATATTGTTGGAAAGTGTCATTTAATTGTATTTTGCTATACGTAAACTAAAATACATAATTATTTATATGCCCTTATATAATGATTGGTTCAGAATTGTTCTCACGTTCTCAACCTTTTAGGTGTTCTTATTAGATCCTCCTTTTTATATATTATATATATATATAATATATAGTATATCTATCTATATATATATATATATCTATATATATATATATATATATATATATAGTAGGAAACCCGCGCGATGCCAGCGGCCCAGCTAATTTCTTTCGGCATATAGTTTTCATGTGGCGATCAGTTTGATTTTCATGTCATAATTCATTCTAGCCTTTTGACGAATTGTTTTTGTATCGGATAGTTCATTTCGACGAATAGTTTCTAGTTGGATACATAGATGCGCGGGTGTCAGATACTTCCTTTTGTCCGATATTTTTGTGTTAAAAAAATTGCGTTCATTGTTTGGTTTAAAAATAAAAGTATATAATTTTTTGTGATAATAAAAGTTTGCAATTTTTTGTGATAAAAATAAAACTATGTTATTATTTTGATTTAAAATAAAATATGTTGTGTTTTTTGGTAAAAATAAGTTTTGGTTCAAATAAAAAATATGTTTTGGTTTGATTTATAATAAACTACAATGGAATACTTCAAAATTGTTAAGCATAAAAAATTATTGTATTTTTTTCCTAATGAGAAATTAGGATTTATGAAGTTTAGGGTGTAAGGTTTAAAACAAAATAATTTTATTTGTTGTGACAATTGTTTGAAATTATAATATTTTTTCAAAATTTGTTTTAAATATTTTATACTGTTTTTTTTATCTTTTTTTTTACATGATTTTTTTTCGGTGTGTGATTTCGTTCTAGACCAGTTTGGTCCCACGACCTTTTTCGTTTTTTTTGGTTCGAGTTCAAATATTTTCGATTCAGTCTCATTAATTTTTTCGTTCAATTTCACTTTTATGGATTTTATGTTTGTGTTTTTGTTTCATTTCTTTGACTAAATTATATTTGTCGATTTTCATTAAATTAGATTAAAAGTTTCTCAATAAAGATATTTTATCTTGGTTAGTTTCATTTCATATAATTGTTGAAGTTTAAACAATAATATGATGGTACAAAAACGTAACCACTCCACAGTTTCAAAATGTTGAATTGAATCCACTATTGAATACGATACTTAATTGTAATCTATTTAATTGTATTTTTTTTAAAGTTTTTCAATCAGATATTCTACATTGTGATTTTTTGACCTAACAAAACGTTAAATATATAGTTTTTCTTTAAGACTTAAGTTTTTCAATCAGATATTCTACATTGTATTTTTTTTAAGTTTTTCAATCAGATATTCCACATTGTCATTATTTGAACTATTAACTCATTACTCGACACAAAAAATTTAAGATTTAAGGGGATATTAGTTTAGTTAAACAAAATAAGGTGTTCCTACATATTTTTAGGGTGTCTAATTACAGAGTAGATAGCTAGCAAATTTATGACAATGAAAAAAAAAACAAAAGGGTAAAGGATGACACTTTAAATCAAAATCAATGGAGCATAAAAAACTAACCAAAACTTCACGTACTCAAAATTATTTTTTTTTAAATAATAAGCATAAAAATATTTGTAAGCTAAAAAAAGTTATGAACTTTTATTAGAATTTTTTTTTTTCAAAATTTAGATTGTTATTATTATAAATAAAAAAAAAATTAATATATTTCATTTAGAAAAAACATTTACAAAGCATGCTGCATTGGTAAGGTGTAAAATATTGGTTATTGTATCGTCTCTTCCATTCTCATAATACCATATTTATGTTGCGTGTTGGTAATCTTTGATTTCCTCAAGACCATATTTATTCTTGATCTTTTTTCAGTTTTCCATTTTTCAAAAACCCATATTCCAAGAAACATAATGATTATTTGTTTAAAACTTTATGAATTCTAACCATATATGAAAATATTACTTTTGTTATAATAATATACAAAAAAATACTCTTTTTACTTATTTTACTTATACACTCAATTTAAATTTAGTTATATACCCCTAGATATTAGTTATGTTATTGTGATGATCTATAAAAATAAAATAACTTTCGATGTCTAACATAATTTTATAATATAAATTATGTTAATCCGAAATAAGTAAAATTAAAAGATTGTTAGGATTCCTAACCAACGTTGCGTCACAAACCAAAAAATAGTTCAACAAAATTGTAACATCATAAAGACCAAGTTTAATTCATTGTAAAACCATTTGTTTATGAAAATTGACAATTATAATTATTTTTTAAATCTCTTTACTCTATAAAAAACTTTTTTTACTCTACTTTTATACAAGATTTCTTACTACAATATTTACACTTCTATCAAAACTCTTATTCGTATATAATTACTCTGACCTGATTTATAAACACATGAGCAACTCTATTTTTATATAAATATTTCTTACTACAATACTTACACTTCTTTCAAATCTCTTTTTCATAAATAATTATATAAACGTTATTTATAAACACATTTAGCAGTGCCAATGGTTCTACAAAAGGACTAACATTTATCATTAAAAGCTTGCAATGGATTTCAAAATTTTACAAACAAAACCTAAACAACAAACATCAACTTCGTTTCTTTTCTGGAAATCAACAAAATACAACTCAAATTGTGTATTACCTAAATAAAAAAAATAGTTTCTTATCAAAACCAGAAACATGAAAAATATAAATATTTTTAAACCTAAATAAACAAAGTCAAACATGGAGAAAAGTAATATAAACTTGAAGTCTCGATAAAGCTCAAATAAATACATATGATGAATAAATTAAAACTTTAGGTCTTCCAGGTTTGCAAAGAAACATGTTTTCTAAAATAAAAACCAAAATCTGGAAAAATAAATTAAAAATCATTCACTATCTCGTTGCAAAAACCCAAACCAAAATCCATTAACTGATTTAATATTGTTACATGTCTTTGAAAATAAAATATCTACAGCGAGAAATAAAACATACAGTACCTATTATCACTCTAAAAAAAATTGGCTAAAAAAAGCGAGATCTAATACAAAAAATTGGCTACAGAAAAATATGCTAAAGGCCGAGCAGGAGAGTAATGATGACGATATGCAGTGTAGGAGAGTAATAACGATGATATGCGGTGTTGTCGTCAATGCGTTAACGGTCACCAATGGCCGTGAGTATTATGGTTGTTGTGATCAGTGGCCAGTGCGGGGCGGCGTGGTGAGCATAGTGGTTTTAAGAAGCGGATAATACGTCGATAATGGGAACAACATTAGTGGCTATAGTAAACACAGTGTTGAGGGGAGATGAGTGGTTTGGAGGGGTCACGGTTGTGCCAATGGCTAGTTGACAGCGATGGAGGTGTATTCTATCACCGAATAGAGATGGTTCTTGTGGCAGTAATGGCCACAGCCGTGTTTGGTGATGGCAAAGATTGGTGGGAGGGAATTAGGGGCTTTAGGTGAGTTTTGGTAAAAGTTATTGTCGTTTTAGATGTTGGAAGCAATTGTGATTTATATACATAATTTTTTTTAGTTGTCTTATTTTCATTGGTTGATTTTGTTTCACATGGTTACCAACATGGATTATCAACTATTAAATCTGGCCTTTTAATTTTGATCGAATGGATGATATTTCATCTCCTTGTTTTAAGACTTTGATCTTAAAATACAAGAGGCCCACTATTATCTATACATTATAAAGTAGATATATATATATATATATATATATATATATATATATATATATATATAATATATATATATATATTATATATATATAGAGAGGTTATTTTGAGAAAAACCTAAAATGTTGAGAACGCAAGAACAGATCACAACCTTCAAAATATTTAGATCTACGGTTATTATTGAGTGGGTCTTTTATGTAAATTAGATAAAGTTTGAGCATAATATGTAACTTTTATACGGTAGTTAAGGTCCAGTTAGATCCGTTTCCTTCCTATCAGCTATCAAGATATCAGGTAAATGATTGTGAGTGTAATCCGTTTTCCTTCATAATTTTTGTGAGTGCAATCCCAGATCGTATTCATCTTTTCTCTTCTCGCATTCTCTCCTATCTAATTTCTTCCGCCACCACCGCACCATCAACACAATAAGACTAGTACCACCTTCATTGCTTATTTTCCCCCACCATTGCGCTGCCAATACAACCGGACTAGCACTATGTCTTCTTTTCCCCAATCTCCCCTTTTACATATTCTTGGCATCCAAAAATGGCAAAAAAATGGCAAGCCCTAGATCGTTTCCCCCTAAATCCCTTTGCTGATTATCCTGTAAATGTATTGATGAAAATATTCAAGAATGTAAGGTTTCTTTCTGTGATTTGTTACATCCATAGCTTCTTAATCGTAAATCTTCATGTGGGTGTTTCTAATTTCACACTTTATGCATTTTTTTAAAACTAGGAAACAATTGTATTGATTTTCTAATTCAAAACAAGTTTAGTTGACTCTCAAAAGTCTAAAATAGTAAATTGAGCATTATTATTATTATTATTTTTATTTTTAAAACAGGTTCTGAAAGCCAACTTGTGTTTTCAGAATGTCGAAATCTTCTTCTTTATCCAATTGGAGCAACTTCAGTTTGGTGTGTTGTGTGAGTTGGACCATATTTCCCCTGTGGTGGATGTTGTTGCTAATGTTTTTTTTATATCTTTTTTGGAGTTTGGCGCTTTTACCTGTGTGGTTTCTTATTGAGATTTGAAGCTTAGTTTTGTGGGCGCTTGACTTAATGGTTGCTCCTTCACTTTGGTTGATGTTGCTTGTTGTTCCTTCTCTTGGGATTTCATTTTTTGGTGTTGATGTTTCTTCGTCTAGTCTTTTAAAGCTCTTTATATGATTCTTTTCCAAGCGTTTTGAAGTTTTTTTCCTACTTGCCCTTTGGTTGCTGCTGCAGTTTTAGTTTGTTGATTTACCTTTTCTTTTTTTGTTTTTCCTGGTGTGTTTTGGGTTCTTTATGTCTGCTTGTTGAGTGTAGTTTGTAGAGTTGTTTTGGTAGAGGTTTTCTCTTTGTTCTTTGATGATGTTGCAGTTGTTTTGCTTCGTCTTGTAATCTTTGTTTTACCTCATATGACAGTTAATGGTTGCACAGCTTACAAAAAGTTATAGCAATTTTTATTGATTTTTCATTTTTACATCATATAACAGTTAATAGTTACGGTATCCAAAATACTTGTGTAATCGGAAATAATTAACCAAGTTTTTTACGAATTATAGTCGTACCTATTGATCTTTTTTATTTTGAAAGACTATTTTGTTTTTTATGAAACCCATATATATCCAATTTATTTTTTGTTTTATCCATTCAGGGGCGGACCTAGTAGGTGTCCCGGTGTGGCACCGGCAACACCTATTTTTTCTGTCCGTAGTTAAATTTTTTTCGATTTTTCGTTTTTTTTTTTCATATTTTTTTACATCAGCAACACCTATTATGTATTAACGCGTCTGCCCCTGTATCCATTATCAATATATGCAATTTATAATTTTTTTTTTGGTGTTCTTATTAAGAAAGACAAGCAAGAGGATTCGAGAAAAATATGGATTCAAAAAATCCACCAACGAAGCATCATGAAAAATATTGTGATCGAACGCGTGGATGAGCTTGTCAAATTTAATTATGGAATTTATCATGGAGAACAACAAAAAGTCATATATCGGACAAGAAACACGGTGAAATTAGAAAAATGATTTTTTTTTTAATCTGATTTCTCTTTTTGAGTTTTAATCATTTATGAATATAACCGTTTTCTTTTTTATTCATTTAAAATAGAACTTAAGTGTTTTAATCATTTACGATTATAAATGTAATGTATTTCTTTTATTTACCTTATGTTTTATTCATTTACGAATACAATTGTTTACATAAATCTACAATATACTTTATTCACTTATGATCAGTGAAATATAATCTTAAATCATTTATGATTACAAAGAATTATAATGTACATAAGAAGACACAGACGTAAAAACATCATTTTCTAAACAAGAAAAAACAATCAATCAAAAAATGTAAAAAGAAATCCGTTACCAAGGTAATCACATAAGATTAGACTAGTGCTAATTATTAACCTATAACAAAAAAAAAAATTATAACCAAAAAAAAAAAAA